TGGCCTGTTGTGGGTGAGGGATGGGGACACATATACACCCTAGACCAGCTTTGTAGGATTTGGGCTGACTGCAGAAGCTGATTCTTCCTGGGGCTTCAGCAGGTCTAAGAGGCAATTCTAGGGACACTGGCTATAAAGGCCAGGGACTCTTGGGCTCAGCCCCACACTGAAAACTTAGGCTCAGGTCTGTCTTGGCTTTGTCTCTGGACAAAGTGACCCCTTGTGCCTAGAAGGCTTCTTTATCTTCCCTTCAGCAGTGATGCTCAGTGCCCCATCATGGCCCAAGCAGCAGGCTCTAGAGACCCAGGGATCACTATTAGTTAATAATCATAATTTTGTGACAGTTTTTCATCCCCACTGAGCATTCTCATACGTTAAGCAACTGCAAGTTCCTCCCAGGGAGCAGCAGGCATCTGACACTTGCTGTGAGCCCCTGTTTTCTGAAAACCCCATCCAACCTGAGAAGCCCCAAGTACCCACAAAATACCAGAGCTAAAACTGCCACAGGCCAGGCTGAGAGTTACAATCTCTCCAAGTGCTGGAATCAGGTTTGGGACATGCTTTGGAATTGTTTTATTTTTTTTCTAATGCCCATTGGAAATTAGAATGAGCTGGTTTGAAGACAGTTTTATGGGGGTGAAGCAGAGCAGAGCAGAGCTGGCATTGAACAGCAGTGACTACGACTTAGGAATGTGGACTCTGAACCAAACAGTATCCATTCCTGTGTTTGGGACTTCCCATACATCATGCCACTCTCAGATTGCTGGCTGAAGACCTTGGCTGTCATCCCCACTCTATGGGGCAGCGGTGAAGGAGTGGCACTAAGGCTCTCCAGGAGCAAGTGAGATGGTGCCCAGAGTGGGGAGGCAAGTAAAGACCCAAATGAAGCCAACATTTCAGAGTGGGGAGGCTTGATTGCAGAATTTTGTCCCCCATCATCCTAACAGCAGGGGTTACTGCCAGAAATATTAGTGATACCATCTTTGGTTCATTCTCCCTCTACCAAAAAAAAATTTAAATGATAATAGCAATATAGGATCACTGAACAAAATTCAGAAAACACAAAACATAAAGAATATAATGAAAAGAGACCCATTCCTGGAAGTCACTACCATTAAGATTTTGGTCCTCATCTTCTTTTTTTTTTTTTGGTCTCTAGATTCCAGTATTAGAGTACACAGGACACTCAGTGCAGGGCATATGGTGCTCACAGTCCTAGGGTGTCCAGAGAAGCAAGATAACCTGTGATGGAGGAAACTGGTTGGGGCTTGCTGCAGCACAGAGAAGACACATGATCCAGCCTAGGGAAGGGGTGAGGGGTGGTGTCAGGGAAGGAGACTTTGTGGGTGAGGAGGCGCCAGTGGTAGTAACTGCTGCTGTGTGTTCTCCACTTTCCAAAGGCAGTTCCCTTTTCTCCATGGTTACATGGTTAGACAATTCCCATCCTCTTTTGCAGTCAGTGTATTTATGTGACTGAATTCTGTTTGATGGAATATGAACAGAATGATACTGATGAGGTTAAGAGAGCAGAACTCCTCTGTGTTCCACTTTCCCTCTACCCAGTGAATGGGGTGATCTTCAAGGATGTGGAAGTGGGTGGAGCCATGAGATGGGAGGAGCCTGGGTCTCTGCCTCACTGTCCACAAACATCCACTAGATTTCAAGAAAATAGAAATTAAGTTGCCTTTGTGTTAAGTCTTTTGGAACTTGGGGTTTGTCTATTATGATAGCTCCTGTTATTAACGAATGTGCATGTTATTCTGAAATAAACAAGCAGAAAGAAAAGCATATGCAAAGGTCCAGGCAATTGAGAAACTATTGTTAAACCTGGCTGAAGTGTCCATATGAGGCTGGGTAGACAGGGGAGACTTAGGGGCATAGCCAAAAAAACAGGGCAGAGGCAAGAAGTATACACTGACCTCAAAAAGCCATGCCAAGAAGTCTAGCCTGATCCTGTGGGTGATGGGAAACACCAGAAGGATCTTCAGCAGAGGAGTGAGAAGATGGGATTCCCACAGGGATGTTAGGTGGAAAATGAATGGTAGGGGTGGGGAAGGAAAGGAAGGAGGAGACAGACCTTGATGGTAAGCTGTTACAGCTGTCCAACTATGAGATGATCTGGACTAAGGGGAAGGTGGGGATGCACAGGCACCATCTGTAAACCATGATATAGACAGCATTTGCTGGGTGACCAGGCATGGAGGAGGAGAGGGGAAAGTTCCTTTTGGGATGACTGGCTGGCTGAGGGTGGGGTGAGGCCCTGCACTGAGGAGGCTGAGAGGGGCAGGTTTAGTAGGAAGGTAGGGTGGTATGTCAGTTTCCACTAGGACACAAGAAGTCTATGTGGGATGTCCATGGACAGTCCAACAAGCAGTGGGATACTCTGCCTGGAGCAGAAGAGGGAGGTCTTGAGGGAGGCAGGTTGGGGCCCACAGGCACAGAGTTGAAACCTGAGGCCACAGGAGTAGATGGAGTCACCAGCAATAGGGAGGAAGGAGAGGAAGCCTGCGCTTACAAGAGCAGGATGGTAAGTGTCCCAGGGAGAGAAAAATGGCAGCGAGGGCCTCCAAAGCCATTCCCCAACTGATGAGCAATCCATGCCATTGGCTCAACATGCACACAGAGAAACAGAGCTCTGGCAGAGAAGGTAGTCGTGTGAGAGTGTCCCAGAGGTACACCCATAAGGACATGGGAGGAAGCTGTAAAAGTGGAACAAAAAGAGAGCTGGGTGTGTAGCTTATTGGTAAGAGCACTTGCCTAGCACACACAAGGCCCTGGATTCAATCCCCAGCAGTGCAAAAGAAAAAACACACACACAAAAAAAAAAAAATCAGAAAAGATTACAAATTTGAAAGCAACTATTATGTGTTCTAATGGTGACCACTCTCAGGCCGAGCAATCCTACTTGTGGCAATATCTTCAAAGAAAATCTAACAAGAGATCTGAGATGAGCACACAGAGATGGAGACTGAAGTATTACTTACAGATCCTCCAATGCTCATAAGGCCTTTATATCAATTTTTCAGACTAGGAAACTGAGTATCAGAGAGGTTAAAAAGAGATGCCTAGATTACACAGTGGACAGAATGAACTTATTCATATAGAGCAAAGCTATACATATGTACCTTGTAAAAGAGTTTTAAAAGACTACCAAAGAGAAGCTATACTTCCCAGGAGAGCAGAGCCATATACTTTCTGTAACACATTTTGATTCTGTAATCAAAATGTATAGGCATGGTGGTACATGCCTGTAATCTCAGCTAAGTGGGAGGCTGAGGCAGGAGAATTTCAAGTTCAAGAACAATTGGGCAACTTAGAGACCGTCTCTCAAAATTAAAAGAGCAGGGGGTATAGCTCAGTGGTAGAGTGCTTGCCTCATATATGTGAGATCCTGGGTTTGATTCCCAGTTGCAAAAAAATAAAACAAAACAAAACTCCCACTGCCTTTCTCTTTCTCATACACACCCACCCACCCACCCACCCACCCATACACACAGACACAAACACCATTTTTCTTTTTTTTTTTTTTTACACAAAGGAACCTGTATTACTTTAGCAGGGAAAAAAGATACATCCATTTTTAAAAACCACAGCCTCGCTGGCAGAGCAGGGGAAAGTGGCTAGTCTGAGTTTATGTCCCACCTCACTGTGTTTGTGAGGAAAGCAGGCTGCCCTCTCTGAACCTCTATGTCCTAGATGAGGAGCAGGCAGTAGACGCCTGGTATAGAGCTGGAAAGTGTGGACTGCACAGCTAAAGGTGCAGTAGAGAAAGGGTGGGCCTCCCTTCAGGAGAGACTTATAAGGATCTGGAAGCTTCCTCACTCAATCCCTCTGGAGTGGGGTGCTGGAGCAGAGATGGGGAGAAGTGCCCAGCAGGTCATTTGCTGGCTCATAAGACCACCTCCAAATTGTCAGTTCTGAAATCTTGCTCCTACTCCAATGCCCTTTTGGGTATAGGTATGTATGCCAATTGATACTAGGTTACTGAGAAAGGGCAATGTTCTTTGATGATTCAGAAGGCACTTTTTAATCTTACTGGGTCACCCATCTACTGTTTCAAAGGGCAGCCACACACACACCCATGAAATTAACAGACCTTCCCAGTGTTATGGTGTCTACTGGCACTATAGGTGGGGAAACTGAGGCTCAGTAGCTTGTGGAAGGGCTTAACAGCAAAGCCAGAATTAGGAGCAAGCCCATAGCTTTTTTGGCTCATCTTGTTTAAGCAAAATCATCCTCCTTCCTGATGGCAGATCTGAGTCGACCCAAAGCAGCAAATCATAGATTCAACAAGAAGTCAGTCACTTCTTTGTTAGCTCCAAAAATACCGAGAACCTCAGGGGTGAGTATGTAGGAGTTGGTAATCTCATTCTCTGTACTTTGTAACAGGCCTGAAATTATCTTTTAAAGGTGATGCACTTGTTTGTATAAATATATGTAACAGTAGGAAGGCTTTAAAAAGGTCCTGAAAGGTAGATATCCTCACCCACCTCTCCACTCCTGGATTCTCTGAGATACCCTGATTATGAATCCTACCTCCACCATTTCCCATCTGGGTGACCTCAGGCAAGTGAATTCTTTTTTAATTTAAGTTTCTAAAGAGTGGAAGTATATCCATGTTCTCACAGGCTTGCTCGGAGGATCCACAGACGTGAGGCATGCAGAGCCCTTTGCATGATACCTGGCACACAATGTTAGCATGTTTGGTGACTATCATGCTCCTCCTTCTAGATTCATCTAACAAGGAAAGCAGGACCTGTTGATACAGACACCTGAAAAGCCACCCTCTCTGTCCAAGAACCTATATTTCCCATGTTCTATATCCAAGTTGCCCCAACCCTCATATTTCACATCTGACAAACTGAGGCATAGATAGGGACAAACTCACCCAAAGTGCCACTGCAAGTCAGGGCACGACTGGGGACTCTAACTCTGCCCTTATCTCTGGCATATGGGAAAGCAGGTGCCCTCTGGGTATATTTATTCCCATTACTCCTCACCTGGTGATTCCGGTGGTCCCCCAGTCTGGTGACCCTCAGGGGCACCTCTGCTGCAACCAGCTCTGCCCTGTCTGGAGTGGTGTAGGGCTCCTAAAAGGAGTTGTCCATATCCTCACTCAGTCTAAGTGAAACAACGAGCCCTTCACAAGCCTGCAGTCAGGCCCAGAATTCCTCCATTTGTGCATCATTTTCCCAGGTTAATCATTGCCTCTTTCACTGGGCAGCACATTCAGTCCTGTGGAGCCCAGTGGGAGGGGCTGTAGAGGGCACACTCCTCCCTTTGGGGGTGATAAGAGGACATAAAACCCATTAAGGGAAAGGGATGTAAAGGAAGCAGATATTTTGTCCACATGGAGTTTCCTTCAAGCAGAGCCATAGCTAAGAAGAGGGAATGAAGCAGCCTGAGGTGGCAGCTGGGAACAGGGCTCTGTTGTCTCTGCTCCCAGGGTAACAGCCTGCCCACCCCGAGTGTCAGGCAGAGCTGGGAGCCAGGGAGGCAAGGGGGGGGGGTCTTAAACTGGGGTTTAGGGCAGCCCACACAGATCAGAGAGACTAGGACCCCAGTGGGGCAGAGAGATCCCAGATAGGGCTGAGGTCCTGAGGTGGGGGCACAGCAAGACTCCTGTGATTTGGAGTCAACTTGACTACCTGTGAATTATGAGACCTTGGACAAGTCACTGAATTTTCCTGAGCCTCAATTCACCCTGTGCATAATGGGAATAAGTACCAATGCTTAGGGGCTGATCTGGCCCAGGCCTGCCCACTTGTGCTTCCTGTGTGGCCCTAGACAAGCCTCATCCTCTCTGGGCTTCAGGTCATCCTCTCAGTAGAGGAAGAGGTTAGATTCTCCTGATTGGACCTTCCTCCACACCTCTCAAGGATTTCCATGATACTTGTCACCATGGCAGCCCTGGGATCAGGTGTCAGGCCTATGCCCTCTCTCCCTTCCTCCCTCTGGTGTGAGTTACAGCAGCCAGATGTTTGCCCATCACCTCTCCTGATCTGAACACCTGGGGAAGAGAATTCCCTTTGGGAAGAGATCAATCATGCTCTGTGCTGTTACCGAAGTGCTGGCCTGGCAGGAATGAGCAGACTAAGTCAGATCCATTTTGGGGCACTGACCCAGGAAATGGGCACCCTGGGATTTTGTATGGGGCCTCTCCTGGACACCAAGATTGGTCCACCTGACAAGCCTCTACTTGGTGGCCTTGCCCACTCTGGGGCACATTTCAGGGCAGAGATTTTCCCCTTACCATTACCCAAGTCCTTACTCCAAAAGCCCTTCTGGGAAGAGCTGGTGGGGGAGAGTAGAGATCCCTGTCCCTCCTCTACTAAGGCTCAGGCCACTGTACCCAAGAAAATTAATCATTAACAGACTTAGCTCCTGTCCAGTGCCAGCAGCCTGCCTTCTCCAGCCCCACCCACCCCACCTTCAGGGACTGGGGGCCACGGGGAAAAAAACAACGGGCAGGACTAGCACAAACCTGCACCCTCCCTGTCCCCAGCCAGTGCACCCAGCTGCTGGAGCAGTGATGCGGCAATCTCATACCCCTGGGCGCGCACGCAATACCATTTCAGCAACTGGAGTAGTGTGGGCGGGGTCCTCAGGAAGTAGACCGAGGCAGGGCATTAGCTGTCGATGGGCGCTGGACCCCGGGGACCTACCTTGTTCCAGTCCTCCTCAGACTCGGAGTGGCTGGCTCGGCCCCGGCGGTGCAGCCGGGCGCTCACTGGGCGGCGGGGCGCACCTGCCAGGGCCCTGCGCTCCGCCAGGCCTGGTCCATTCTCCCGCCCCGCCGCCGCCGCTGCCGGCGCCGCGGCCGCCGCGCCTGCTCCCGCTCCTGCTCCGGGCCAGGTGCTGCCCCTGGCCTGGCCCGGCCCCTGGCGCGTCGGCCAATGGGCGCCCCAGGCCCGGCCCCCCCCTTTGGGTCCCGGCCCCTGCGCGCCAGCCCCGGACGCACAGAAGCCGCATTCAGCGTGCTGAGGCGCAGCCGCGCGCCCCCGCTGCTAGACCAACAAGGCCCGTTTGTCTCCGACGCGCCAACGGGACCATTGTCCTGCAGCCAGTCCTTTGGCTCAGCCGAACCCCCAACCCTAAAGGGGACTCTAGGATGCTTGGGGCTTTATAGTAGTGCTGGGGAGGGGGTGCCGAGCTTGGGGGAAAAGGAGTTAAAAGGAAGCGGCTGGAATAGTTGCTTTCTTAACTTTCACTGGGGACACTGGCGCTCTCAGGGTCCTATTGAAGGTATGACCTCCCCTCCAGACTTTTCAACTTGGGGCACTGTCTTTGGAACCCATAGGAGCAGGGGCGGGGAAGAGGAGCCAGGATCTCTGAGAACTTAAGGAACTTCGCTCCAACAGGGTCCTACGCTTGAAGGTCTCAGCAGAACTCCTCCTCTCCAGGGTTGAGAGGTGGGCCAGCAGCATATGGGTGCCCTATCCAGGAACCATCTCCCCTTCCAGGATCAGGCTTTTGTCCTTCATCCCAGCAGAGAAGGACCAAAGATGGGGACTACTGCCTGGCCAGAACTAGGAATTCTTGGCTCCACTGTGGGCAGTACAAAACCAGCTGGCCACCCAGTAGAGCATGGACCACGTCAAAGTCCCACTGCCCCCGACATTTCTGGGCAATTCTGGAATGGGGAAAATTCCACATCAGCATGACTGCCAGGCATTTTTCCATTGGGCCTGCCCTCGACCTTGTAGCACTAGGACGCACATGCACCCAGCCAGGCCTTACTCAGTCCCTGGAGCTATAGGCTCTAGCTCCAGAAGTCTTGACCCTGGAAACAACCCCCACCACACCCCTGCTGCCATGGGCATGCCAGAGTGGGCATGCGACATAGCCCTCTCCTTCTACACCCAGCGAAGTCCAGCCAATGTGGGCCCTGGGTTCTCTACCTCCTAAGCCAGGGCCTGCCAAGTTTTCTTCCCCTGGCAAATGTTGGGTCTGCAGCCACTACCCCCAGAAACATTCTCCCCCTATAGAGCCAACACATGATAGGCAGAAGATCAAGGCCTTCAGCCTAAATCCTGGGAGCATGGAGCCAGTTCCAAACCCACTCTTCCCCAACCCAGCTCCTGCTCCTGATAATAATCAGTCCACCAGAAGCAGCAGTGGGAGGCTGTGCTGGAGAGTGTAAGCATCCAGAGCTCAGGGTTCTGGCTCTGGCTGTCATGACACATGAATAATCCCAGGCAAGGGATGTCCCCCTGGGCATTGGCAGGTCAGATGGAAAAAGGGTTACAGGTTGGGTTACCAGAAGTGGCCTCAGTGGGCCGTTCTACCCACCAACCCACAATGGAAAGCTAGAAGTATACCTGTCATCAGTCCCTCCTCCCCCAATCATCCTCAGGCACTGGCTTTCACCTTCCCTACCAGCTCCAGTAGAAAGTTATGAAAATCACAGTTCATGTTCATCAAGCACTTACTAAACAAATGACACCACTCACCCTAAAACACAGGAATGCTCCAGAACTTCCACTCCTTAACTTACAAGGAAGCAGGTTCACAGAGGCAAAGTGCCTGGGCTGGAATGTGAACCAAGCCCAGAAACTCTGTGGCTCCCTTCTGGAATCCCTGGAACTGGAGGGGTCCTAGGACATCCAGAGTTCTGAGTATGCCTGGGTCCAACTTGGTCAACAACCAGGGTTGGCCCAGCTTATAGTACAGAGTGCCAGGTGGCCCTTCTCCAATCCCAGAAGGCTCCTGAATATAGAACCAATTGATTGCCGAAGTTCAGTGTTTAATAACAAAATAACAAAAGTTCCCCCATCTTCACCCTATCACAGCACTCTGAGAATCACAGGTCGACATATGGTGGGGGTTGCCAAGGAAAACAGAGGCAGCAAGTGAAGGGCCGATCAGGCTCTAGAACCTCTCTCTGCCCAGCCACCAGCAGAAAGGAGGCCAGGGCTGCCCATAAACCCTGTCAGAGTGAAAGGACACCAGAGCTGTCAGGGAGAAGGAAGGGAATAAAAAGCGGTCCCTTGGCCTGTCACTGTCTTCTCCAGCTGCCAGAACATGGCCTCCATTGGCACTCAAACAGGCCTCGCCTTCTTGGCCTTCTTCTCAGACCTTACAGCCTCGTCGTGGGCTTTCCGCTTCTCTGCCAGTTTGTTAGCCTGTGAGAAGGAAGGGAGAGGTAAGGCTAGGGATGGGAACTTGGGAGTAAGGGAAGACAGGGGAAGGGGATCGCCCTCCTCCTACATAGGGTTACCTCTTCATTTTATTTATTTACTTTTATGTGGTGTTGAGGATAGAACCCAGGACCGCACACATGTGAGGCGAGCACTCTACCACTGAACCACAACCCTAGCTCCGGGTTACCTCTTAAAAAGCAAAGCTGACAAGCAAATTACCACGGGAAAATATCTGATTTACCTAAGGGTAAGAAAACAGACCTTCCCCCTTGCCTTTACAACTCTTTATTATTTTATGGGTCCATAAATCTTTAGTTATAAACTCCTAGATTCTCAGAACCCTCTAGAAAGCCAAGTCTGACACCTTTCAAACTTCAACTAGACGGCAAGGAGGGTGCAAAGGGAAGTCTTCCCACAGACCACTAGGCAATAGATATTTGACAACTATGCAATTATGCTATTAAGAATTTAGACTGCAGGGGTGGGGGTATGGCTTAGTGGTAGAGCACCAGTCTCACGTGTCTGAGGCACTGGGTTTGATTCTCAGCACTACAAATAAATAAATAAACAAACAAACAAATAAATGAAATAAAGGTCTATCAACCAAAAAAAAAAAAAAAATATTAAACTGCAGAAATATTCTGAGAAGGTCAGGGACCTGCTCAGGGATGTTTACTGAGAATGACTGAAAAATAGGAAAAAATAATCCCATCAGTAGGAGACAGGTTTTTGTGGTGCACAATGTCATGAAGTCCACATTATGATTAAATGAAAAAAATCAAACTAAAACAATCTATACATAGAATACTGCTTCCCTAAGGTTATGTGCACAAGAGAAACCTGCAGGGCGCAGGAATGATCTATTACTGTGTCATCTTTTACTCAGTTATGGCTGCACAATTTTTTTTCTTTTTTTAAATGAGCATATGTGGCTTTGTGAACAAGAAAATAAAGCTTAACAAAAACCTCCCAAGTCTGCTGGGATAGCTCTGTTCCCATATCTGAGATTCAGAAACAGCTGGGAACAGGAAGGGGATGAAAGCCCTGAGTGTGGCTTTCAGGAAAAGGCTAGGAGTGACCCAGAGTGCTGTTTCCGAGGACAGCCCACCAGCCTCTGAGTTCACCTCACAGCCACCTATGGTGGACACACCCAAGTCTCAAGTGACAAGAGCAACTTACCTCTCGGATTTTGCGCCTCTTGCCAAACATGATCTTTTGGTAAAGGTACTTCTCCCGCTTCTTCATCATCATAATAGCCAGACGCTTGGCTTCACTTTCCTCCTCTTGGGCCAGTCGTTGCTTATCTTCCAGTTTCACAGTGCCTGCCATCACCTTGGGCTTCTGAGGACAGAGAGTGGGTGCTCATGGGTATGGGTCCTTTGGCTCCTGCCCTTCCAGGCAAGTGGGGCTGCTTCCCAGACAGTGCCCCAGTCTAGCATTGCCATACCTTTGCCTCCATCCTCTTGTCCTCCAGGGCTGCCAGATGGGCCTCTTCCTCCTTTTCTGAAGCAGCCTCCGCATCTTCCTCCTCCTCTTCATTTTCTCCCCCTTCATTGCCATCACCTTCAATGTCTTCTTCCTCTTCTTTCTCCTCCTCTTCTTCCTCTTCAGACTCTTCCAAGTTTCCTACAAACAGCAGGTAGGAATCTGCTTTCTCTTGCCAGGTGAGGACAGGCCCCAAGCACCACCCTCTGAACCCTGCCATCTGCAGATATTCCAAAGACAGTTCAAGGCTTTCCTCACTGTAGTCCCCTCTGACTCCTCTCCAAAGCCCCAGCTGCCCTCAAAGGACACTCCCCCAACTCCTGAACTCAGTCACCTTCTACATGAAGACTGATGACAACCCCAGATCTTTCTGCTCAGTTCATCTGAATGAATCAAGTAACACTTGACTGTAAGATACAAATGTCCCCTTTTCCTATGCCTTACTCCAAAGATAGGTTCAAAGGGCTTTCCACTCTGTTCTGCCCTGTTCCCTGCTTGCCAACTCTACAGTAAAGGGAAATGGACAGCTCATGCCCAGGGGCCCAGACCATCCAAAGGAGCCCATCCACCCTGCCACCCAGTACTCTTTCACTCACCTGGGTCCTCTCCCCGCTGCAAAGCCAGCAGCTTAAGCTTCTCAGGTGGGATGTAATCTCCTTCCTTCTCAGACACGAAAGGTGAAAGGTGTGGGGGCAGCTGCACCCC